TAATAATATTTTTTTAATTAATTAATTTTTTAAAATTAATTAATTAATATTATATAATATATATCTTTAAATGATATTTCTCTCTTCGTTAAAATATAGTAGATCTAGTTTCTTATTTGATGCGTTTAAATTTAATTGTTTACTTTTCATTTTTAAGATGTCATTTAATATATTTATTCATATTTTATCCTTATTTTAAAAAGATAATTACAACATATAGTAAATAAGAGATTTTATTTAAGTAATATTTAATTAAGAATAAATATAAAATTTTATCAATAAATTATTATATCTCTATTTTATTAAACAAAAACTTTAAGTCTATTAAAAATAACAGAGGAAATATTATTATGAAAGGGTTTTTCTTACCTCTACTCCTAGGGCACATATTAAAGGTATAATAAATACATTGTTTCATCATAAATTTATATTAAAATAATAAACACTAACCTTCAATTTATCAACTATTTAATTAAATTCATTAATGTGATAATGACACTAAAATTAATGTTAGCTTTTACATTTTTTAATATAAATTAATGACAAAAATGTGTCTTTTGGGGTATAAATCAAGATGTCTTACCACTTTAAATGTTAAGACTCTTTGTAAAATTATTTAAATATTCTTAATAAATATTTTTTTTTTTGTGTTGATTCACTAAGGTATTTTAGTTTTTTTATTTTCATTTCTGGCATTTTAATTGTCTTTTAAACAAATTTAAAATGCAATTAAAATTCCATAATGATAATGAAAAGATTAAAGTACCTTTATGAATTAACAAAAAATATTCATTAAGAATATTTAAATAATTTTACGAGAAATCCTAATATTTAAAATGCCAATATATTTTGATTTTTGCTCTTGGGTACACATTTTTGTCATTAATTTATATAGAAGAATGCAAAAATTGATATTAATTTTAGTGTCATTATCACATTGATGGATAATTATTAATAAATTAAAAGTTAAAATTTATTCTTCCAATATAAATTTATGACAAAAAAATATATTTATTACAATTTTGAAATTTACTCTACAAACTAAGGTTAAAAAATTCATTTCATAATAATTAATAAGAAAAATAAGAAATATGTTTAAAAATTCTTTATTAATTAGTTGGTTTAATTAAATTTAAAAAGTAATTTATAAAGATTATAAAAATATAATATATTA